TCCAAATTGTCTATGAGTTTATTATCTGAATCATATTACGTGCATAGTATATAAATTTTTAAAAGCAAGTCCGCGAACTATTTTCAAACGTAAAATATGACGCAATGGAGAAAAATAAACGTGTTTTAAAAATAACGCCGAGATATTTCCCTTCTCTACATAATGTTTTAACGAGAAAAACTCAAAAGGGATTGTATTGTTTTTATGTGTTATATTAATCATTTTGGTTTGCAAAATGTATATTGTATTCTCCTTTGTCTTTATTTCCAATTTAAGAATACAAAAATTTGTAGTAAAAAAAAAATAAAAAATACTTTTTGTAGAATGAATACATTTGTAGGATTTTATTTATGTATATGATATAATATATGTAATGTTTCTATCGATTTTCTTTTTCCTCTTTTTCTTATTATAATACAAAACATTTATCGTATCAAATACAAAAATATTCATTATATTTTTCTTTAATGTACATGATTTCTAAATCTGATTTATTCTCTCTTGTAACAATGTTTGTTGATAATCCTTAAAGTTATTACTTGTAAATTTCGTTCTATTTTTATGTGCGATGATGCTTTTCAAACGTAATCAGCGCGTAATGTCAACATACGTATTCCGACGTCAATAAAGAGACACAATTTTCTTCTCTCTATGTTTTGACTTCTATAATATCATTCATTTGAAATTCCAATGTTTTGACAATTTATTTTGAGTGTGACGAAAACTATTGTGGAGACGTCTTGAACGTTATTCTTGAGTACGGTAGTTTTTATAGTTATACATTACAGTGAAGAGGACTTTGTGGATTTAGTTATCATCAAACTGTAGAGGAACTGTAGAAGAATAAGCATATAAAAACCTAATTTTAACTGAATAATATTATGTTACGATGATTAACGATGTTGTTATTTTTATTAAAATCGATTTTGCGTTAAGAATAATTTTATAAATATAAACTTCATAATTTCTTTAAGAAATAAAAAATTATATAAAATACACACACATACAAAGTATATGAATAGGTTTATTACGTATAATACTTTGGTAAGAAAAAATAAAATATATACTGAAAAAAATTTTAAGAATTTTATTAAATATTTGTTTGAATAGTACTAACGAAATGTTTACTGAATATAAATACACACATATATATATATATATATATATATATATGTATAAATATAAATATAAATATATATTTATTTAATTTAAGCACAATTTTTTAAATTTTAAGTAAATGTTTATTTACTATAAATATTAGTTCTATTTACAACAAGTATTTAATTAAATTTAGTGAATTTTTTTCAGTGTAATATACGCTTATTAAGATTGAGAAATGCTGATTATTATATGAATTCTACTTCATTGCTATGCAGAGAACGTTTCAATCGAAATCGAGACGCAGTTTCGTTGCTCCTTGCGTTTATTGTTTTCCACCTCTATTTTCTCATACAAATTGGTGAGTATTATGAATATTGCAAATTCAGCGAAAGAGATGATTGCAAGCCTCTAAAATTCATCTCAATACATTTTGTTCAAAGAATATTACCCAGATTTGATAGAAAATCGATAATTCGGGGAGCTTCAGGAAGTGATCATAATTAGCTTTATTAAATATTAATTCCCTAACCACAATTTCCCATTATGTATTATTTTACCTTTGGTTCATATTAATTGCTATATGTTCAATCCTTTAATTACATTATTAATTGCTATATACTAAATTATTTGTTGCTCAATCGGAACTAGAATATTATTTAAAAATATCGATTAGGATAAAGCATTGAATTTAAATTGGTATCTGAGAATTTTGAATTCAACAATAATCGACATTTTAAAATAGCTCTAATAGTACTTCGAATTTCTTCAAAATTAATTTACTAGTAGTGTCTATATTATTAATAGTACAAATTATTATTAAATATCTATACTAAAAGAATTGCGCTTGATTAAAATATAATTTACTTCTTTAATATGATAATAGAAGATAAGAGATGAAAAATATAAAAGATGGAACGTACTCATTTTTTTATATTAAACCAAATAAAACGTCGAAATTTAAAATTATTGCACGCAACGTAGTTATTCTTGCACTGCTTTTGTAATTGCTTCTATACGTCTCCAAGATATATAACACAGTCGTGGTCTCTATCCTCCCGTTCGCTGTTAACGAATGTTACGGGCCTCAGTGGAGCGAGACCTCGCCCTCGGACGCGCAATTCCGGTTGATATGCAACATATGCATGCCACGAAATACGCCGCAGCATATATCCGTCTATGTGCTCTCTTGCCTTTGTAATTGAAGTGTTCCAGCGTTGACACGCTGGCTATGTCCTGAAATAATTCCAAGTATTTATAAGTACAATTATATTACAATTTATCTTTTAATAGGGACGCTTGTATAAACATTGTCATTCTTTTGCGAACATACAAAACCACCTGTTTGAAAATTTATTTTTTCTGATATATTTACAATTCAATGTGAATTTATACTAATGTAATTTATATAAACGAATTGATTAATACAAATCTTTTTTATACAAATTTAGGATGACTTTTTATTTAAAATATTTATATCGATATTTATATATTCCTATGTGAGATATAGAGTTTGATTAATAATAGGGAAATAGTTAAATTATTTGGAGAACAATAAATTCTAAGGGCGATTTAAAAAATCAATGTATAAAATTTATATATGCCATATGCATCAAGAAATTACAAACTTTATATATGATTTAGTTGAAATGTGCCGGTATCAGTTTGTTTTATACCTTATGTCAGTGTGGATGAAACTAAATATATACGGTCGTAATTCATTTACGGATATAAATAGCAGCGTAAAAAGTGTGTGCTTTGCATTTTTAGTCAAAACTGTGAAAGATATTGCACATTTTACTAGAATTTCTACGTAGATTGCGACATATAAATCAACCTTTTTGTTGAAACAAATATGAATCGGGAAAGAAATTAACACCTATATAAAAATTCACTCGTGAAATTCTATTTAGCAAATTTTCTATTACTTTTTCAAATATTATTTTATATTGAAGAGAATATGTTTATTCGCATTTTTTCTGCCTCATTTTGCTAATATATAATAAAAAATGTAAATTTAGAGTATTAATACGTAACTTGAATTTAAATACTGCAAACGATGATATTATTTTTATATTAGTTAAAATATTTTTGTATATTACTGATGTCCAGAAAATGGCATATGTAATAAAAGATAAAAATTTAAAATAAAATATTTTATAAAACCAAACGAGACGTAAACAATTTTAAATTGCAACGTTGCAACTGCTTCAAATTGCAGCATATAAAAGTTCATAATAAAACTGATCTTGTCGAAGATAGAAATTGCGTTTATGATTGTGATGTAAACGTGAAATAAAGTTCATAGAACACTTTGACGATTTCAGATAAGTTTATTATAAAATTTGGCCTAAAGAAATATTTTATTTACAAGCTCTTTGTAAAGCTTTTCACACTTTGACTGCGCGAGACATTTGTTCTGTTATTTCAGTTTCAATGTCCAGTGTCAGACATTTCAGTCGAATATTCTGAAACAGTTTCGGCGGATGTTGTTCAGTGTAGCGTAAATATACGGTGCAATGGATTTACGACGCGGCGTACATAAGCGGATTTTACATATGAACATTAATTACGACTAATTACCGTACAAGTTGTTATGATAATAACATGTAAATGTAATTATTGACAAGTGCTATTTACCAAAGCAATAAATACAAAAATCGCTGTTAAACAAGTACATTAGTCCATATTTTTAGTTACATCCTCTACACATGATTCTCTTTTATTAATACGTAATCGTTTTCATATAATGAGCGATTGTTTATTGTTTCATTGATAACTAAAGCAAAAACAAATGATAAATATCAGGCATTTGACAGAATCGTGTGTAAAAAACAGGTTCTCTGAATTTGATAGAACGAATCCACGATTAATTCTAACGATTGATGGATACAGTTGAGCGAAATTCGTTAGTCTTTCTTATCGTAAATCTCTGTTCCATTTGAGTGAGATTTTATTGGTTAAAATTACGATATCTTATCTAACATCAGAACAGAAAGATTTTTATTTTGTAAAAATTTCTAAGAATCTACAATAAGATATTTGATAGTTGCATTAATCCAGACTGTTATGAAATTGATTGAGGAAATTATACCATACGATGAAATTGATATCCATTGATATTCTGTTTGCGTCTACTGCAGCGGCACTGTTGTAATTAATTACTATAATTTCTGTATGTCCCTCGTGCATGATTTCCAGCTCACATGATGATTGCCATTTGGGCAGTCAGTGTATCTGTTGCTGGTCAAATCTGCCATCAGAATGTCATCTATTGCGCATCGCCGTAATCAACTTCATCAAATCAGTTGCAGTGGATTATGTCCCATCGATTAAATTTAATTTGGGTCAGATTGATGCTCCCGATGTCAATGGCAGAATCTGGAATTGCACGTCTATAGCTGGAATGTATTTTATTTTTTGATTTGATCTTTCGCACAATTTATAGTGTTTGATCATATCGTTCGGTGTTTTCTCTTCGTTCAGTTTCAATCACCATTTCAGCGTCATGCTTGATGGATATCCATGAATGATATGGGCGGCAGAAATCTTTTATTGGTTGAGACGTTCCGTTTGTTACCAGGAAATATAAGTGTCACTGCTTCAAGATTATCTAAGTCGTTGTAGATAACTCACGCTATAGAACACGCACGGATCAATAAGACTGAAACCGTGGAGGATAATGGTTGATGGTTAATCGAGGTGATTACATAGCTTAAAGGCTTTACGATTAAGATACGCTGGCGTGACACGTGCTTCGAACACAGAGAATCGATAAACATCGCGATTCCTATTAGCGCAAGGTTCCAGCCGTCTATGTATCATGCCCATCTAGAAGTGGGTGTAAGTGGGGAATAGCTTTAACCATCTGATCATTCGGCTCATTCGCGATTTATCTTCAGTACCGTTTTATTCGTCGTGCTTAGATAAACGTACGCGAAGTTGTTGTATACGTACCGATAATCAAGAAAAATCCAAGCCTCGACTTTGTGGAATTGGAAAAACCTCAGTCGAGACAGGTAAACTTCGGTATTAAGATAAATGCTGTGATACGAAGGAAACGTGCGTGGGTTGCCATTCCAATTAAATATCTTTTGTATATAAATCTACAGTAAATAGTTTATTAAAAGCTAAACATTAATGCTATATATTATGTCTCTTATCCATATACATTTTTATGATAAAGTAGTTAAAGTAGACTAATATTAAGTAATAATTGGATATTAAAGATCGATAATTTATAATTTTAATTAAATATTTTATTAATAGTATATATAAATATATACAAACATAGATAATTTTATGGAATTTTAAAAAGTATTTATTAATTCGAAATATGTAATTCGTAATATGAATATTTAAAAAATGGTTTTCTTAATCAATAAAATTTTATATGAGAGGAAAAATTATTTATTTTACATTACGAATTTTTTCTGCATGCTACTTGTAAAAAATCATATTTATGTATTATATCTAATAAATCATTACATAAAAAGAATTATATAAAAAGGATATTTCATATATATTACTAATATACATTAAAAATAATTATTTGTTAAAAGAATAGCTTGCAATATAAATTCAATTGTGATAAAAAGTGATCAGTATGGCAATACTTGAAACCGGTACACAGAAAATATATATAAATTATACATTTGTCATAATTTTATGCACGGACTTTTCGACAGAAAATGCTAAGTTCCATGAGAGTGATTGCAATTTGACCACTTGATATTTCTGCTTTATGTCAGGCGTAAAATATTTCATCATCGTAGTGCTGTCCGTAAGCTCCATCAAATAGAGTTACATAGTTGTGCACGACGGTGGTCGTAGAGTGAAAATGACAAGTGATGTGCCAGAAGCTAATAGAACTGCTCGACACCGACGTAGATATAGACGCATATGCGAAGGTGTCCTCATTTTCAATATTACTCTTCGATATAGCAAATTCATAATTGGTACTCCACCCATCGTTATAATAGCGATTATATATCCACTTATTACTTAATTAATATAACACTTGTAGTAGTCGGAGTCAACGTCGTGATAATTAGATGTACAACTGAAGGTGATTGTTGCAAGCGGCATTAAGCATCACTTAGCACGAGATCTAATCAATGTTTATTAAACGTGACTTGTTTTTCATAAGTGAATGTTTAAAGAATGACTGCACATATTCCGTGGCTACGAGTTATGTAAATATTATAAATTTTAATTAAGTAAATATATCGACTTCCTTCTCTTATCATTACGTTTCGTCTTCTTAAAACAATTCAAGTATTTATCTAATTGCAAAACAATTATTCATGTGCAATACTGCAATATTCAAGTCTCAAGCAAAATAAATAGAAATCCATTGAATAAATTCTGTATTCAATTAATTTATAACATAAACATTTAATCACAGCAAAGACATTTAAACACGAGATACTTGATCAATTTATTTTTGCATATATATTAATCGATTTAATAAAATTAATTTGTACATATCGAAAACATACATATTACAGGTCCCACAATCACAATATTCTAATAGAATATTTTGAAAGTAAAGTATAGAGCAAAACTCTAATATGAAAATGTCAAGGCCGCAGTAGTTTTTGAAGTATACCTGAACAATAAAACCGATAATATCGCATTCCGAGAAATTCGCGTGTTGAGGCCCGTAGTTACACAGACACGTGTTGCTAAGAAATGACAAACTAGTTCGTGTACTATGTAATATTACGAAATATCTATGTAACAGAAACAAAAAATAAAAATTGTATCAATAAGTTATATACGTAGTCTTTAGAAAGACAATGATCGGAAATAACAAAGTAAGATTTATAACAATAAAATAACTTAGCAGTAAGATGTAATAATTTGATCACAGCCAACACTTTCGCTAAAAATTGTAATCAATTCAAGTTTCTTGTATCTTAAAGAATGCCGACGAAACGGCTATTAAAGATAACTCTTCCTAGCAATTAGAGGATAAATAGAGCTAAAAATTGAAAGGAAGGTACGAGGACAAATCAGTCAGTTAATCAGTTAGTTAGTCATCAGTTAATTACACGAGTATTACGTAAATTGTATAAAAGATTAACACAAGAAGTATATAGAAATAAACTTTATTAAGATTAAAACAAGTTAGTTCATTTCTGAATTTTCGCGGAAAGTCCCATCGCGTAAAAATTCTATGCGATATTACTGTTATCTTTAAACGATTATAATTAAAAAAACTATTGTATGATTATAATTAAAAAACCTCGATATTTTTATATTCGAATTTTTTTTGCTTTATCTTTGAGATACGCTAGTAAAATATTGTATGATAATGTGAAATATTCCGTATATAGATTATACACACACACACACACACACACACACACACACACACACACAGTGAATGCAAAAAGTATTCGTACAAAGAAAATATTTTTTTAAAAAATTAGTTTTAAAAAGTAAATATTATCCAACGAGAAAAATGAGTCATCGAATCGATGTCGAATCGATATCGATATGATTTCAATATCAATTTAACGTCGATTCGACGTTTATTGATGATCGTTTCTTGCCGAATAATTAACAATTTATTCATAAAAAATAAAATAGACTGTATATTTCTTAAAATTTATATATCAAAAAGATGTGCATTAATTACAAAAAATATATCATCTGAAAAATAAGCAAAAATTAAAAATTGTATTGTTTAGATGCTTAAAAAGTATTTGTGTACATACGAATTAATTCCAACACCTAATATATATATATAATATATATATATATGTGTGTGTATATTTATTCATTTTAAATGTTACACACAGCAATCAACAATCTTTTGTTTTTGCATTATAGATTTCCATCAAATTGCATAATGTTGCTCGACATTTCATCGATAAACTTGTTTTGCGTCGCGTTGTCGTGTGCATCTATTTTCGTGTGACAGAGTCCCAGTCTGATCAGCATGTTACATATTCCAAGCGACGTGCACAGTCGGAATGGAAATTGTATCAGGCGATTAAGGTGCGTGAAAGGAGCAAGGATACCTCTTTCCAAGGACAGACTACTTATTGATGCTGGGGGGTAACCGTGTATCTCGTCGCTGCGCCAGAAAATAGTTATGCAATTCCTCTCGGATTTCATTGTTGAATTCCTACATGAAGCACTACACAAATCAAAACTGATGTAATATTAGTAGCAAAAAGCGTGGAAGTGAAATATTTGTGTCCGTATAAAACAATGTTAATTTGTCATATATTCGATACCACAACATGCCGTTTCCTCGTTCACTGATTACCTTGAAATCGTTATTGGCTTTACGCAAATCGCGTGGCTGGTGACCATTATGAGAATAAATGTGAATATTCAGTTTCAATTTTAATTTCACAGTCCATAATCATTCACCGATATCCTCCGATGGAAATTGCGACTGATATAACGAGGTCTTTTAATTCAGACGATTTAAATGTACATTGCAGTTAAAAAGATAAATTGACATTAAAATCTCAAATACAAATTACATCTTTTGTCTTTGTGAATAGGCGAATATTAGCGATAGTTATGTCATTTCTTATGACTATTTCTATATTTTTATTTTTATTTTATGATTCTATTTCTCTCTATATTTTAATTTTATTTTTCGAAGGAGTTGTTCATCTTTACAAGTGAATTTATCGACGAAATTGATAAATATCCGACAAAAATTAATATTTTACATTGACTGAATCATGACGATTGATAAAACCGAGATGTCGAGAGAATTCGTGAAAGTGCCAACCCCGAATTTCGAACCATCGGAACGATGGCGAATTATGAAGAACATTCTAGTGATTAGTTGCGCTTTTATGGTGAATTTTACTGCTTTTATGGGAGCCTCGAACTTACAGAGCTCTGTCAACGCAGATCAATCGCTAGGCACATTCACATTGTCGGCAATTTATGGTAGTCTACTCTTCAGCAACATTTTGTTACCCGCTTTAATTATAAGGTAAAGTAATTTTTCTTATATATTTTTATTTGCACCATGGTGTAATAATTAATTTCGTGTAAGTCGAAAATCAATGTACGACTTGATATAATAATGTAGTTAAAGACTATTCTGATTGCCGATATTTTGCATCTCAGCTAAATGGAGAACTCTTGTCAAATCCGATTGCTGTTACTTGTTATCGCGGTAGAATGAATAGAAAGTTTATGTGTGTATGTGGGAAATGTATATCGTCAATTATGGTAGACGCCGGAAATGTTCGATGTGTTTCCTATATGTGAGGAACTAACAAACAGCTAGAGTTCTACACACAATCCCACGGCACTAAACTTTATTACGCGTTGTCGTTTTCACCTTGGCCCGGAATTACGTTACATGGAATCCCCGTGGGTTCGAGTATTAGACAAGAGTGAAATGAATATATCTGGATATTTGCGCGAGGATTCAGTATGACATCTTCATAGTCAACATAAGATAAAGCGAAAAGCCTTTAATATACTGTATTTACTAAAATTTAATATACTGTATTTACTTTAATTACTAAAAAGTAATTTTACAAAAAAAAAAGAAGGATGTATAAACATATATGGATATTACATATTTCATATATGATTATACATGTTTATGAATATTTGTGTATGTTTATTACATATTTATACATATTCATGTATGGAACAATTTTTTTTTATAAGAATAATATATAATTTGTATTTATGTAATTTTGTTCCAGCTGGTTAGGATGCAAGTGGACAATGTCGGTTTCTATATTGGCTTACATGCCTTTTATAGCTTCGCAGTTTTATCCTAAATTTTATACTATGATTCCCGCTGGATTGTTAGTCGGATTAGGCGGTGGGCCACTTTGGTGCGCAAAATGTACTTATTTAACTGTGGTAGCAGAAGCTTATTCGACCGTTTCAGATATAGACGTGGATGTCCTTGTTACAAGATTTTTTGGTCTTTTTTTCATGTTTTATCAAATGGCACAAGTATGGGGAAATCTTATATCTTCAGCAGGTGGGTCATTGTATAGATATACTTATGGACATATGTGATGCTCAAATTTATATTTCACGGATCAAATGTGTTGAAAAAATTGTTATTAGCATATTATTTGTGTCTATTTTCGACTTGGACAACATTTCGTTTGTTAAATGTTAATTTTGATGACGTAAGAATGAATCTGTAATTGCTTTGGGATGTTTTAAAGCGTGAAATAAAAGTTGCCGTTCTGAATACTAACGAACTAGACAAGAATTTTATTGTCGACTGGTATATGTAAATATTTAAAAATTTCCATAATTATTTTATAAATTTAGTATACATTGATTGAAGACTATATTAAGAAATATCCAAGAATATATAATATATTTTATGACATTATTTATAATAATAGTGATCGGTATCTAACATAGCTTTAATAGCTTAGTTTATTATTTATATAATTTATAAATTTAATTTATTATATTATATTTAATTCAATTTGTTTGCTTTGCTAGAATATGAAAAAAACTATGATTAATCTACCAAAAATAATATAAAAAAAACAAGCAACTTTTTTGAAGTAAAAAACTTAATGCTAAGAATTATTTCTTAGCTTTTCAAGATAAAATATATCCTTGCTACAATTGTTTAATTACCTCTTATTTTAAGATAAAATTATAAACGACTATGAAATCACGAACCGGAATGAAGTGACGCAAAAAAACTTCGTCTGCAGTCCGCGCAATCTTTGCGGAAGCGTATATGAATGCGTTGCTGCTAAGCTATAAAAACGCGAGCGCCGATGAAAACGAAATTAAGTTTCTACTACCGCGAATCATGAGATTATAAAACAATGACACAGACTGCGCAGTAACTAGAGTTTGGTCGGGCATTTTAATGACCATATTTTGTTTCAATGAAACATATATTTCAGTATACTTATTCATGAGAACAATTATCGGTATAATAATTGATAGTATCTCTATTTTTGTAATTGTGTCACCCTTGTGTCTTTCATAATTTTTTAATGCGTCAAATTCAGTGGCGAGTATATTTTCGCAGAAATAATTTTGTAATTATAATATTTTCTTTATTTTTTCATTAACGTTTCTCTTATAGTTCTTTCATATGGAATTGACACGATTGTCTCAAATGTCACCCTGAACAGTAGCGTTGTGGCCAAAATTTGCGGGGCCAATTTCTGTGGGGTATCTGAGGAAAATGAAAATCCAAATTTACAACGACCTCCAATAGAACGAATATATCTTATTTCTGGAATTTATTTAGGCTGTATGATATTAGCTTGTCTAATAATCGCGTTTGCCGTTGATCCTTTATCCAGGTACATCTTACGTTTATAATTTGCGATTTTCATTGTCAGAAATATAAATATTATAAAATATTTATATTATTTATTTAAATTTATATATATATATATATATACTCTCACTAAGGAGTAACATAAATGTTAGTTATAATTTCCCACTCCATCAATATAACTATATAATACAGTGCGTCATATTAGAATTATATTGTTAAGAAAAATTGTAACCAACAGAGTCATATTACTGTTAGTTATATTTGCTGAGTATAAGAAATTTCTTACGCTGGAATTTATGTCCATCTTATAGATACGACAGAAATAGAGCCCGCTTAGTGAAAGGATCGTCCGGATTCAAGTTCTTGACCGTGACATTAAAACTACTAAAAGAGAAGAATCAACTTTTAATATTGCCGATAACGTTGTTTATTGGGGCTGAGCAAGCGTTTTTATTTGCCGATTATAACGCAGTTAGTAAGCTATATATAAGACTGCAGAAATTTAAAGAAAAAAAAAAAAAAAATAAAATTTGCGTTTAATTAGTAATAAGAGAAGAATTTGTATTATAAAAGAACAATAATGTTTTTTATATTTTTTATAGTCATTTGTTTCCTGTGCTTGGGGGATTAATAATATTGGTTACGTGATGATATGTTTTGGTATCACAAATGCTATAGCTGCACTTTTTACGGGAGCTATCGTGAAATTGACTGGAAGAAAGTCTGTAATGATTTTTGCTTTTTGTTTACACTTGAGTCTTTTCGTCTACATGTTACGATGGAAACCGACACCAGAACAGGGTATTATCTTCTTTCTGCTTTCGGGTTTATGGGGTGTGTGCGATTCGATCTGGCTAGTACAAGTTAATGGTAAGAAAAATTAATAAACTGCAGTATTTAATATAAGTGTATTTTCAGTCATTTACTATTAATCAAAAATTTTATATACAATATTTATATATTGCGTACCGTTAATAATTGTAAAATTATTGTGCGGTAATCACTAAGTCGAATTTCCCAGTTTATTTGTTGTACGTAAAATTATATCGACAGATATCTCCACTGATGGTATTATACCAACCAATAGTATAAAACAATTTTATTTTTGCGTCTTTAAAGAAATTGTTAATGAATTAAATTGTTAATGTATACATCTCATAAATTTAATATGTAACAGTTAATAATTTTACGATTTTCAGCATTAAGTGGAATATTATTCCCTGGTCGAGAAGAGGCAGCTTTCGCAAATTTCCGCTTGTGGGAGTCCACTGGTTCAGTGATAACATATGTGTACAGCCCATATCTGTGCACTTGTACGAAGCTATATCTTTTAATCGGAATACTGTGCGTTGGAATGAGTGGTTTCGGTGTTATCGAGTGGTTAGGTATTCGAGCAGACAGAACTGTTTCCGATAACAAGCCTGATTTAGAATTAATGAATGATAGAGACATCAATCGATAAAATATAGAAGTAGTAGGTATCGTCTTTTTCAGTTGACGGAATTGTAGAAAACTGTCGAAATGTTTATTTTTTAATATTATTAAAAAGTATATCAAAACCAAAACTTAACAAAAAAATTTATTTCTAAAAAGTTTCTAAAAAAATCAGTTTCTGAAAAATGCTTTTCAATATCATTATTTATAATATCCTCAAAGTACATGATAAGAAATAAATTGAGAGTCTATTAAATGTACCTGAAATTATTAAGATAAGGAGAAAAATTATTACAAATATTATCAAAAAGATGAGATTTAAGAAAAAAAAGTTCGATTAAAAAAATTAAGAACCGATAATTATGTTATATGTAAATAAAATTACAAAAACATGTATACAGTACAACAATTACTAATTTGAAAATAAAATGATTCTTAATCGCGAAGAGTCATAGGTACGACTTTTTGTTATTTGTACCACAATATATGTTTTTATTTTATTTTTGTGGACACCTACTAAATTTTACACAGGTATTCGCTTAACGGCTAAGATTTTTCTTGTCCTTCATTTTAAATACGTAATTTAATATTACATCATGTGCCTAGGTGCTAACATTCAAGCTAAAGCTACGGCTGCTTAGTTTAATTGTATACTTATGTGCTTAATTGCCGACTGTGCTTATTTCGTTACCGAGATCAATTGATTCCCGCCTTCGGGCGAAGGCAGATTACCGAGTTGCGTGATTTTCCCATAGTTAACCGATATTTTCCGATAGCGGTAATGTCGAATCAATTGATCGTCGAATTGTAATTTAGCATCGTTAAATTGCTGATTGTATCGTGATTATTAGCTTAACTTTGCATTCATCGTATTTACAATTCAAGTTCTGCAGTTCAGTTATATACTTTATAAAACGTAGTAGGAACTTTGGTTTCGCTGGGCAATGTTTCATGAGCAGTTTCCTCTTATTGATTTGTTACTTTATTTCGTGTCTCGACGTAGCTCTTTTTAGGGGGAGGGGGGTGTTCATTTCTTCTTTACTCCGTTATGAAATATCTACTCGTTCTCTCTTGTTTGGTCTATTTTTAATTTACCAAAATTATCGGACAAGGCGAGCAATTCTGCTGGAAACTGCTATAAAACATTCGCCCGTGGATCTATCTTCCTTAATATGACACTCACGAATACAATTCACATTTTTTTGTAATACTCATGTTTATATTTTCGTAAGGATCTATTTGAATATTTCAATTTCACGAAGAAAATACACATAATTCTTAAACCGTCTTTGCGTTTTTATTTTTATCACTACCGCAGTTTTTTCGTCGCTCTGCTCGTTTTCTCTCTTTCTCTCTCTCCCTCTCTCTCTCTCTCTCTCTCTCTTCCTCTTCTTTTCTTACTCATATAACAAAATTTAATAACCGGAATATTTCTGTACAAACATTTTCGCTCTTTTATCAAAAAGGATAACATACACATTCCACCTCTTAATAAAAAATTTTGAATTTTGCGTTTTGCCCCATCGTGTATCTCTTTATTCCCACTCTCACGCCATTTCCTTCACACTTTTCATACTCTCTTTTATTTATATAATACATTTTAGGAACAGATCACTTTGCTCGTCTCAGCTTAAAAGTAAAACCTTAAAATATTATTTATTTTTAGAAATTTATTATTTTTTTAACCATGTAAATCTTCTTTGCATGAATTCAGCTATTTTATAGCTATGATAATAAAAGTTAATTATAATATTACAATGTCTAGGTATATCGTAATATGTACATGCTACCCTTGCGCCCCTAGCTACTCGTCAAGTTAGAGATTTCACAATATTATCGTAATGAATAGCCCATTATAAAGAGGATGAAGTACATTTTATGCACAGTTCTTACTCATTAAACGCGTCTGCTAAGTATTAAGAAAACCGTACTTTAAGAACTTCGTTTAAATATCCTTTTGTGCGTGAAAACGACTGCGGGTTGTTGATCGCTTGTAACTAAATAATTACGTCAACGTATTGCAAATCAAATGTCTAATAATCGCTATGATGTGCGAGGCGACTTTACATGGCCACGTTATTATGATTTCTTTTTTTTTTTGTTAAAAGAGAAATAATAATGCATAATAATTCTTCGATTTTAAAATTACGCATCTGTAATATTTTTTTACTGTACACATATTTCAAAAGAATTATTCGAGTATCTTTAGCTTTCCTATTTTTTCGCGCAATTATAAATACAAAATTGAAATAAAGGAATGATACAGAAACATATTTCGCGATCAAAGAATTATGTTTCTTCGAATATCCCGCAGATCGAAATCAAGCTCAGATAAAATCGAAGTTTTTGTCCGAGCTTTATCGTTTATTCAGCGAATAAGCGGATCGCATATATGTATAGGAACGGAGGATGCGTGCTCATTTAACACGTATACGTCTTACATGGCAGATTATCACGGACTAGTCTTGCAGAAACTCGAATCTTGTCTGTCTCTAACTGTCTCTCTCTCTCTCTCTCTCTCTCTCTCTCTCTCTTTTCCTACAGGATTAAATATAACTTCAGGAGCGGCATGTGGTATATAATCGTTTATAGCATACTTTCAAAGACGTTATTGCATTATTTAGTCACTAAAGGAATTTCATTGATTTCTAAATACACTTGTAAATTACAGATCTTACGCGCATCAAAAACTCTCGACTAGATTTGTTATCGAAGTTATAAAAGAAATATTATTGTGCTCGTTATAACAATGTATATATATATATATGTATATATATATATATATATATGCAACGAATGATATTATATAATCAATAGAGACGATGATTTTTTTACTTCGTATTTGTTTTTTTTAAGCGATATTTTATTTGCGCAAATTCAACGAGCAATAATAATATCTCAGAATTCCTCGATCGTAGAATACAGTCGAAGTTTTTGTTGCACGCGGATGATTACCATCCTTCGAGTGTTTCCATTTTGAGTGCATTTTCGATTGTTCCGCCAGTTGATTAGGAATCAATTGTACGTAGTTGTTTAAACGTTCGCCGCTTATGTACTAGCATTCTTGTAAGTAACCATTTTAAAGGTAGCTAAATTTTTATTAGTTATTATTCGTGCGACGATTTACATGTCTTTCCGCCCGGTTTTGATAGATTGTATTCCGAAAAACGTACGTGTCCCGGCAAATATTGCAATCAAGCAACTGTAATTAATTAGAAAAGCCTAGAAGCGATTTTTCTACAGTTGCTTCTGACAAACTTCATGTAATTCGATCGGGACATTTACGTTCATCAATTCGTTAATGCTTGCCGATAGTCCGTTCGTTCGAAATTCGAAACTGGATCAGTTAGTGTTTTCCGGTGAATATATATCTATGAAAATTGGAAGCGCGCGACGGATTGGTACCAAATGAGAGACAACGATTTCAGATTATCAATTTTCGATATTCGACTCATGTATACATCACATATTCGTAGATTAAAGCTATTTACATATATAGATGTCGTATACACCTGCGATCACAATATTCGAAGGACTTCGCTTCGATCTAGAACGATCTTTCCGTACTGGAGCGAATTTGATAAATGTAGTTTTCTTTAATAAACATTTTTTTTTTCTTACTTATAACTTTCCGTAACAAACTACGGAAAATTGTTCTCGCGTTAGAACTGTTTATTTATGCTAGAGGAAAACGCGATATTGGAAAATTTTACGAAACGTGTTCTTCATCGTTCGTAGTTTGAAGCTTTTCTCATATATTGCCCGATTGTTCGGTAGATGTAATCCTTCCCTATACAACGCCTTTCGACATCATCCGCACCGTATTCTTCAGAGCTTGTCTCTTGTTGCAGAACCAAATTCTTATCACCTCTCTATCGTATCCTAATCGATGCGCTAAAGTCGTGATTTCGTTACCTGTAAAAAAAATAGAATAGAAACTTTTAATGTATTAAAATACGCAAAATTGCTCCGAAGAAGAACTAATAAGATTCTTCTAATAGCAAAAGACTTAATTATAGCAGATAGACATAAAACATAACTAACCAGTAGGATGAGTATTCCTGTCAAAATGTGCGTTCAGCAATTCCAAAGCCTGAGGCGTGAAGGAAGTCCGCCGTTTTCGCTTCTTGCTCGGTTCAACCCCGATGAAGTCCGTCAGATGATTAACGCCGCTCTTGTACCTGGAATCAGATGCACTACTCTTGCTCAAATTCGGAAGATTTCATCACTGACGTTTATTATTAACGTTACCGGCGCGCATTATACTTTCACGAAAAAATATATTATATATGTCCCTACTTGTTACAATTATGAATCGCGAAATAGGATCCCGTTTAAAAATCTGACGGGTTAATCGTCATATTTTTATAATAATTAATTACGTCCGTAAGTCTACATCGAGCTCAAAATTTCTCCTGTGGTTTACGAAATATTGTTATAAATCCAATATTAAAAAAAAATAATTCTGTTTACTGTTTTGCACGTTCGTAATTACGTTAGCGCGAAATAGGATACTGATTAAAAAAGGAAATCACCGGCGTCACGATATTCGTGCTCGGACACGTTCGGTCGCAAATATCCCGTCCGGTATTGGATTTTTCCCCGAGTACACACTCGGGTTGATTCACGAGTCGAACTTACTCCACGTATCGCGAAACAGAACTCACGGTGGCGGCAGCGATGCCCGATGGTGTCGACGTCGACTCAAATAAAATTAGCGATCGAATAGCCGTGACGCTTTCAAACTCAAATCTTCATTTCATTCGTTATCCAAGCTCATTAAATCGTGCAATCTCAGAAATATCTTCCATTTCCACAATTCTTCAATATTAAGAAGATATAATCAAGTGCTTCGATTTTTCCATGCATTTTTATTATTATCAATATCATTATTGTAATTTCTATGTACAATTATTAAGGATATTATAATCATAGTTCTTTATAATTAAATTAGATATTCTTATAAGAATTATTTGCCAATATGAATACATTTCTGTTTGCTTAAGTTTATTATTCTTACTGCTCAAAGAACAGGATAGAATCGAGTGAATACAAAATTTTTAATAATTGCATTAATTATCGAATAATAACGAGATTGATATTCATTATATTTTTCAGTCATTTTTTCTAATTAAATTAAGACAAGATATTAATTTATAATAACTATAAATCTATCATTGAAAAATCAATGCCGGTTATATCATCTAATGCGACAGTTTGGCCATCATTTCAACTTATTGATTTGGTCCAAACGACTTAAAAGAAATTTACATTAGAAAAGATCCGATCTCGAGAGTCTCGAGTCGAGAGTACGCAAACTTTTTTGGCGTCGGGCGACTAGTCGACATAATTTCATTTGACGGTAGTATTATCGGGTGGATGCGGTGCGGGGAACGACATGGAAAAAGCTCGCGGCCGCGACAGTAAACAGGAGAACTTCCGTTGGGACTCCCGGGTGAGCGATGAGAAGTGGGTACAGTGTGGCTGCGGGGTCGGGGAGCCTCGATGGTGGTACGGTCATAGGTACGTCGCGGTGCCGGCTCAAAATTTATGTTTTTAATTTAACTCCGAATGACCAACTGTCGAGTCGAAAAAAGTACACGGCGGGCCATTAGCATCGCGCGGTAATATTTCGTCGAATTCGCGAAAACAATATGCTAATGGAGAAGTCGGTGAGAGCGCGAAGAACCGATGCGACGCGACGCGACGCGACACGACGCGACGCGACGCGACGCGACGATTCGACGGGGGTTTGGATGCCACGCCGTTGGTATGCGTTAGTGACCGGTGAACGCAATGTAGAAACAACGCCAGGCATAAGAAGGGATAGAAAAGGAAGGCGAAGAAAGAGGAGAGAAATAAACGTGAGTTAATACGCGAGGGAACGTGAAAGCTGCGTGTAAGCTCGTGCGTGGGTGTTACACGTCGTTGTTGCGTACAAGTGTGAGGTAGAGGGAGAGACCATGGGCGGAGAGGCTTGAACGAGCATGAAAGGAAGAAGAAAGATGAAAGTAGAAGGAAGATGGAGAAATAGAGGCTGCGTGAGCGGAAGGAATGACAGAGAGAGCGTCGCGATGCCGCTGCGGGTAAGAGCGAGGTGACGGCGGTGGCGTGTAGCCTGTAGGTAGGAGGAGCGACGTCGGAGGAGAGGTACATCAGAAACCTGATTTTAATTAGTCCACAGTTTAATTACTCGGCAGATAAATCGTGCACGTGCACCGCATAAACTAGCCGCTTTCATTTTTCCCGGACGCGGCCGGCACACGGTCGACGCTTAGCTCTACGCCGCGCGAATGCAGGATGGGTCATTGTTAAGCCGGCTTGCTCTCGTGAAGAGAGAAACGATCGTACCGATATCGCTTCCGTCATCGAATCATTCGATTATTCTACGATGCGCTTCCGTGCCGATTTTTCTTTCATGGGCCGAAGACGTTGCGATATTTTATTTCCGAACAATCGCCAAGCATTTGCTTTTATGCGAATAAACGCTGCTGTTTATATTCGTAAGTTTAATATAGTCGTATTTCTTATTCTAATTGACTTATTCTCGCAATTGTAAATATAGGCACGAAACTTGGCAAGCACGTCTTGCAGATCTGTGTATTTATATTCATATTTCTTATATTTAGCACTGAATGTGACAGTTCAAATTGCATGCATAATTTTTTATACTCTAATACTTTATAGAGAAATTACCGTCGTATCTAAACGTTAATCTAAACGGGAAACTGAATATAAACTGAATAATATTTAGCTTCTTTGGATTAACATAAAAATCGCGATAATTGTAAATAGAAATAAGAAATACACAAGTCAATAATAATAATAATAATGTAGATACTAACTGTTTTAACTGTGATAAATTTAATATCCAATCATATTTTTAAAAAATTGCTGCAAGAGTGAAGAGTGTCTTAGCGCTCTTTGACGTCAAAATCGTATCGCAGTGCGTTTTAATCGTCGTACGACTACACGGATTCCTGATTAGCTCACGGTCTAAAGTTCATTAGATTTTATCATCTCGTAAAATTTACACCTTCTGGATACGTAGCTCGAGAAGCTTAGGGAGTATCTTTCGCGTCACAGTAAAGCCACCGCATTGCGTTGCTGCCGCGAACGAGTAGCCGCCTCGCGATCGTGCGGTAACGGTTTCTCCCATTCTAATTAACATTCCACATATTTATTAAATGCGGATCCGCAATTAATCAGGTGAATTCAATTAGCGAATTACCAATTAGCACGCACGCGTTCGCACGCTCTCGCACCGACGCGCAGACGCGAAGTCGAGGCCGCGCTGGACGATTGCGAAATAATCATGTATCAGAAATACAACGTTAAAACTTGACTTGCAGCCGAGAAAGTCTCTCTTTCTCTCTCTCTCTCTTTCTCTCTCTCTCTCTCTCTCTCTCTCTCTCTCTCTCTCTCTCTCTCTCTCTCTCTCTCCCTCTCTCTCTCTCTTCGATAAGAGAATTCTAGTTATTATTTATATTAATTATAGAGTGTTTATATAGCACGTCGAAAGGAACGTTGCATTTATGATACTCTTCCGACATAAATACATGTTGATCTTTTTTGAAAAAAAAAAAAAAAACAAAATTTCTCACGGTATCTGTGCGATATTTCTTAAAGTATCGTAGGAATATTACTCACCTCTCTTCTGCCTCCTTCATCCACCTCTCGAGAACAGGCTTAATTTTCTGCGCGCTTTTCGGCGTAATGTCCAGCTTTTCGAATCTAAAGCCAAGAATAAGGCTTGGTCCATTTTCTTGCTTCTATTTTTCGGGCAATTGATAAAGGGAATAATGTGTCGAGAAAAGACGACAAGGACGTAAAAAGATAAATTCTAACGTAATATATTGAATAATATGTATATCGAAATGCTTAAAAAAAATTCAAAACTTCATTTAAATTTTCTTTGAACATTTGCTTTTCGCCCTTACGTCTTTGTCCCACTAAAGGAGCACTAAGAGGCATGCATTGATTCAATAACAGGACATTGACAATGCGTGCATGCTTTAAGGTTTGGTGATGCCGTGTATGATGTTGCCAACGCGCTGCGCAAACACTTGTTGTGCGAGCGAGCGAAATGAATCCGATCCCGCAATTCTCGATGAAACGATCCGGAGCTTAAACTCGGCGAACGTTAAAAATTCTCGGTTTCATTCTATTCTTTTATTCTTAGCGCGTTGGCGACATCATGCCCAAGTTTGCCAATGCCCTGGCTCGAAGAGAGTTAATTTTAGAAGTGCTCCTTTCGCATCTCTTTTCCGAACGGAATTAGAAATTAGTGAGAGTGCTTGTGCAGCTATACCCAAATATGCCTGCCAGTTCTAAGCGGGAGAGGCCTGATCGCAAATCAGTCGAACGCAAATAGAGAAGAGGAAGAGAGAAAGACGACTGAGGTGTCTGTCTTATTTTAGACGATATGCATCGTTGATTTTAACATGGTGAATTAATTAGATTGTACTATTTCTTAACCTCCTTTTTCAAGATCGTTGGAAAATTCGTGCACAATTTTCCATTGGGTATAACTGCGGTTTCTTAAAGGATTTTAGAGTTTTAGATTTTTAGGTAAATTAAGTAGCATGGAGGGGTGAACGTACGTAGCTTGCTGCTGAGAGGCAATCTGCGAGGCAGCGTACATCTGGGTAGCCAGGGCACTGGGGAACAATCACCAATGCTTATGTTAGTTGATACGATAAGAATTTTCTAAGAGATATAAACATTTTCTCTTTGCTTGCTACCGGCATTACCACGGTGGTTCCCATTCGCATTTCGAAGATACGCTCGATCGGAAATGACGAAGAGGGTAAATAACGGAACCCTACAGCCACGAAAATTTAAGTATCAAGTATTATACGTTCAGTAATATAACAAATTTGTAAAATTTCTGTAAATAAGTAATTTTTATTTTACGAGTAATTTTAATAACTCGATTTAAATTAAATTGTAGCATAAATCAGGAACCATCGTGGTGGATTACGGTATAAATAAGTTTCTCATGGCACCTCAAAATTGGATAATGCACCTGCGATAATTATATTAGACTCCATTGAATTTCAAATTGCGACAAATACTAAATAATGAAAAAAGGCGTAAAAAATAATTTTGCTGAGTATACCATGTAAAGAAGAAAAATAAAAACATAAAATTGCTTCAAGATTCTCTTAACTTTACGTTCGGGCGTTCATTCCTAACGGAAAATGCTGTTACAAGGCCATCGAACACGGATAACTATCTGTTTTTGTTACTCTGAACAAATCTCAACCCTTTCTACGCCATTTCCAGTGACCTGGCACACTGTCGTTTTACATTCTATCATATTATTGAATTCTCATTAGCGACGTCTGTTTCGACGAACGCGAGGAGGACGCTGTAGCGACAACTAACCTGCATATGGCACTTTGGCTGTATGCGGGGCCCTCAGTGACACTCAGAGCCTGACCAACTTGGGTCTGTGTCAGACCCAGAGACAGTCTGCGCAGCTTAAAGACCTTGGCGAACTCCTTGATCTCATCCAAATTGATCCCATCGACTACGTTATTAGTGGCCTCATTGATCGTTGGTTGATCTGTAATAAAAATTCATTCTATTCTTTACTTCAATTCTTCTATTCTTCTTCATCTTCTATTCTTCACCTCGGTCTATTCTCATCACGATCAGATAATAATAGTATAAAAGTATAAAAATCATTACAAATCGCCGGATTTTTCGTGGTAAGATATTACAATAAATCTAGTATCATGCTTAATTCTAAATGAATTAGCAGTGACCTAAGCATTTAAAAGCTTCGGATATTCTTAATCTTATCTCGAATTTCTTTATTTTTTTATTTTAAGAACTATATCTAACACTTCCCTGTTCTATAAAATATAATAAAATCGATAAATTCTTGAGTAAATATATGAATCGCGCGTTGCGAGTTAATTATGGAAACGATACAACTGAGCTGGTCATGAATGAAATAAATATTCGTAGTTCAAGGATTACACGATAAGCAAGTTTTGCGTCGTGCATGATCAGTTTTACAGTGGACAGTGTAGGTAACTTGGGACAGCATGTATTTTTGTTAAATTCAGTTGTGGTATCCATTCATGAGTCACTAAATAAAATTTAAAATTTAAACAGTTTTTAGTAACTCATGGATGGATATGGATGGATATCACGACTGAATTTAATAAAAGTACATATTGTTCCTGCATTGTTCCAAGTCACCTACATTTCGAGAAGATTAGTACATTTTAAGCAGATTAGATTCACTATCGATTATACGAAAGCTCATTTCAATTGATCGGAACGGAGCTCCGGTAAGAAGATTGCCTAATGACATCAGGCGGCTTCGTTAAAGCAGCTACCACCGATTTCTCTCATAAATCTGTCACCCGAATGTATACGAACGCAATAGAAATACCCACATACTCCGTAATCTCGACCAGTTCGCCTGGTTTCTGTGTCGCGTAATAAACTAAGTCTTTCTTCCGCGACGGTGTTTCTACGATCGTTAATTTCTGATCAAGGCACCGAGTACTTTGCGCGCTTCAAACAAAAAGCTGTGAGCAAGTTATATGACTCGACCATGACACGATAAATAAAGGAATAAGAATATCAAGAGCGAAGTATTCACCGCTGTTCAGTTCACAACGTTAAATGATTATGGCTTTGATCATAATTATGATTATTGGACTAGTTTCTTAGTTTTGTACGTATTACAAATTGCATAAATAAAATAAATAAGAGATGTAAAAGATAATCACTAATAATCATTAAAGCTAATAACGAAGTGTATAAATATCAGAACTCAACATTTAAAATACGTTGTTTAACGTGGTTTCTGCTCGTACTATATACAAAATAATAATAGAAAAATTAGAAAACTGTTTATATACAATAATATATATTTTAATTACAAGATCGTTTTTCCTGATCTCTACGCGAGAAATTCTATCTCTGAAATTCTATCGGAGAAGAGTTAACAAAGGCAAATATTTATGAGATAATACTCGCATCTGACACTAGCAATTGAGAATCGTTAGGCTTCACGCGTCGAATGATTATTCCACCGCGTCAGGATGACGAAGTGCCAGTCTACGCGATGATTGTGAGTTATTAAAATTATTGTCAGCCAACACGAGGTTACGCGCGCTGCTGGAATCTTTATGGCTTCCTAGAAGGCAGTAAGGAACGAACTAATGCCCCGTATATTTATATAATGAGTCTAGTATACGATATCCTATTACACTTGTCAAGCATTCTACGATCGATGCTAGTTCGAAATGTTATTTTCCAAGTTCAAATACAAGTTAAACATTAAATCGTTCCTTCCAGTGACAGTAACGTTTCGTAAATATTGTCAGGAGAAATGCTATTTAAGCGACCGATCATTAGAAAAAATTGAAGGTGTACTTCAATTTTCAGAGATATACGCTTGCAGAGTTGCATGCGGCCGGAAGATTAACACCTTGTCAAAAATATTGTCAGAATGTGACAACCTGGCAAGATAAAGATAAAGAGCGCTTTTGCATGTGGTAATTGCTTCTTTAAAAGTGATCATTATGCATGCAATCGCTTGTCGACATTAGCGAGTGTGCTTCGTATAAGCAAGTGATTGCGTTATAGGAAGATGGTGTCTCCAGCGAAAATTGTAATTAAAAGCTGTCAAGAAATAACACGGCTACCCCCGAAGGCATAGCACGATTATCATTTACGCGCGCGATGTGGACATCGTTTTAAATGCTCTATCAAGTACCATAAAACCAATTGACACAGATCATTCCTACTTTCGATTCATACGTTAATATCACAGTAAGAAAAAGGAAATAAACTATATCTTACTCGGTGAATCGTTCAAGAGATCATCCTCCTCTTCCTTTATTGGACTATGCATACTGCTCGGAGAAGCCTTTACCCCAGCACCGCCAGGTCCGTGTGTCGTCGTGATAGTGATCTCGCCATTGCTAGCGGCCAATCTGTTCAAAGCGGATGCAGCGGACACCACGGATTCATTCAATGGCGATGACTGCTCCGGTCTGTCCCTGTGATGTTTTTCCGTCGGCTATGAACACAATGCGATAGTAGGGACGGATTAGTAGCTCACTGGGGATGAGAGCGCTCCTCTTCCACGTCAATTATGCATTTAATAATGAGACAGAACCTCGAATCGAGACACTTTAAAGTTTAATTAGTGGAAAGATGCCGCCAATACGGAATACTTTCTTAACGAGATCATTCAGTGCTGAGAATTATTGGTTGCTTCGCTAATCTTGCCAGTAAGTTTACTTCGCGCGTTTGACTGTGCATCGCGATTCGATAGAAATCCGTTTACATCATTAGAAAAAAAATGGAAAAGAGGAGGTATTTATTCTCTTTGATTCATATGGCGCAGTGTTATTCGTTGATGGAAAGTTAACTACACTAACGGTTATAGTTGAAATTATTGAGAAAGTGAATAACACGTATCGTACGGCCACTAGTGAGATAAAACGTGAAACGTGCATACGGTTTTTAAAAACAATACAACTATATACGCGATATCATGAAAATATGAAGCTTATTGTAAAAGAAAAACATTGCTATTTTAACAAGCAATGATATGTCTATCAATTTCGTTGATAGCATGACATGAAGAATTTTACTATTTTATATCTAGCAAAAATAGCTACATAATTATATAAAGCTAATTATTTTATAATAAATGCAAAATTATTATAGCTTTATGGGAAAAATAGCATCGACTCTAAATCTTAAAATATTTCTATCGTTTATTAATATTTCTCATATTACTGATAAATTTACTATCTATATTTAAAAGAACGATGTTGGAAAGGGCGAGTCATACGTACTGTGTAATGATTTATATGCGAGGTGTGTCGGTGGCTGTGCTGTTGAGGCGATGTCGTTAAAAGCGGTTGCTGAGAAGCCTGAACGGCCTGTACAGCCTGCGCTGCTTGCGCTTGTGCCGCCTGGGCAGCCTGAAGCAGTTGCTGCGGCTGCATCGCGCTCAGAAGTTGTTGGCTCGCCGAACTATTGCTTAGAAGATGCGGCAAAGCGGCAGGGTTCAGCCCTAATCCCGATGCCAAGCTGGGGCTCGTGGGAACTGATAAAAGGACAAGTAAACACGCATAGTACGACATCCGATGTTGGGTTAATCGCAATGTAAATGCAACAATTGTGACAACTGAAATTATACACACATTTTCATTGAATACGTTATCATGAAGAAATGATGTCGACTATTATAAATATTTTTAATTAATAGAAATAACTTAAAGCGGATCTTATGTATAGTGCTTAAATATTTCAGAGTTAATGTACATATCCAATTTCGCAAGTCGCACGCCAAAATTTTTTTCGGTCTTGAAACGCGATTATGAACTAAATTAGAGTAGTAACATCACATATTAAATTGATATTGATAAGTAATTTAATAATTTTTTATGCTAGTAAGTATCTCAGATATTAATAATTGGTGTAAATAATATAAACATCTTAAGAACTGTAAATAATGTAATTTATTGTGAAAAATTTTTGTTTAATAAAGAAGCAATTTAACATTTTGAGTACTGTAGACTTATGGATAGGTGATTTTGAATCGATCTTTTGAAGAATCAATTCTTTGCACGCCCAGAATGCGTTGTGAATATTTGGATTTATTTTTTTGTCTTTCTGCATTCTTATTCGAAAAATTTTTATCGCTTAATTTATAATTTAATGTATCGTATTAATCGTGGTAAATAAATTTCGGTTTTCTTAATAATAATAGCTCAATAATTGTTCAGTAGAATACATTTGTTTAATAATGTATTCTAAATGTAATGATATCTAATATTATAACCACAGGAATAAAAATGAAAAGAAAAGATTTTTATAAGAATTATTTTTTTTATCTATCACATAATTATTTTTTAACTATCTACGTGAACGAAATGATGCTGAAACTGCATACAAGTTCAACATTTGATCATAAATTAATTATTCAATGCACAATTTAGCTGCATTGCAAAATTTTCGCAATAGTAATGAAAGTCATAATATTGTGTTTTAATAAATTAAGAATTATTTTATGCGTTTCACTTGACACTCACACACTTGCGAGTATCATTTTTGCGAGTCTCATTTGTTCTTGTTTAACATTTCATGAATAACAAGGATGAAATGATTCCAAGTGCATTACAAGCATCAAATGGCACCTCGATTGCAAAAGAATCGCTTTTTCAGGAGATCGATTCAAAATCGTTCATCTCTAGCGAGTGTGATGCATATATGTGCTCAGCGTTTCTTATTTCTAATTTATCTATGAAATAATTAATGATTTTACATGAATATTTTATAAAATTCTATATCTCCATTATTACCAATTATATATTCTGAAATCATTCGATAAAATTCCTTAATATTTACGCGATTTTTAAGAAAAATCAACTACAATGCTTATTACTGCTGACTTCCAATTACACAAAACGCGTCTCTGAAATATTTTGTTTTTGAAGAATTAAACATTCAACATTTGATATTGCGATAGATTTAGCAGATGCAAAAGATCATTTATTTTATGTACATGTAAATACATTTTATTAAATTTTATAAGAAGGATAAAAATAATAATTTAATCTTATGATGACTTTGTAATAATTTCAACGAAGTAGTTAAAATATATTAAAATATTTTATATAGCTTCGTAGAAGCAAAATTATATTTATATCGTGACGCGCGTAAAGATGGATCAGGGGACATGGTAGTATCTCGACGAAGAGCACGCGCAGTGATATTATATTAAACGGTTACATCGAATACACGGTACAGGAAAATCTTATAAATAGATTAATATTGAACTTACCATTGCTCGTAGGCGTATTAAGCATATTTTGCGGTTGAGCTAGAGATTGGAGATTCGCCAGTGTCGTAGAAACTACTTGTCCATTACTGAGCGCCAAATTCACCATTTGATTGTTCGTAACGTGACTGACTGGTATAGTCAAAATGGTTTGGGTAGCGATACCTAAGAAATGAGAAACATTTTTCAAAATGAATGTGTTTCTCTGACAGAAAATTATTCCAAGATAGAGGATGACAAAGATAATTGATTTTACAGTAGCCCTCGATAATATTATATGATCATATTTCAAATCAATAGATACTTCATTTCTATTATGAACATAGTCCACGCGTCGTTGATCCAGGATGGGTAGTAAAGTTATCAGAGTCTCATAGAAGGATTATTAGGCAACCCATAGGGCAGGTAACCTCGCAGGCTAGCGTAGTTGGCAAACTATTATCGTCATCTTAATAGTGGGTACAGGTACTGGTACTGGACTGCGCTGCGAGAAGGACGCCTAATCATACTTAGAATAGTTTCGGGATTACCTCCAGCTCCGCTAATCTGATTACCCTGTACACGCGCTTAATATGATTACTGATCATGAGTACGTACCCGTGTTGCCACCTACAGCTAAGCTAAGCAAATCCCGTATTCCGAACAGCCATAAAAGTTTCACATTCTGAGGTAAGGTCAACCGACAATCCGATTAACGTGCAGTTCAAACGTTACCGAATGATAATGTGTCGTCAATACTTCCACTGTTGATCACTGACTCTGACAAGAGTGTAATGATTTGAAAATATTTTATTCATCGAAGCATAGCAATATAATATTTACGGTAGCAATTCAATATTTGCTTTTCGTTAACACGCCATCGTCTACTAAAAGTAAAGAAGTCTCTTCCACATTTTTAGGAATATCGGAGATTTATTTATATCTGATATAAAGAACGATTCGCGGATGATGTTATTTCCATTTTCAACGAATCAAGGCGTACATGACCTCCCGTGTATTTTAATCTTCGTCGCTTTTTGGATCTTAATCGTTCACACGATAAAATCTCGGACGGCTGATATCATTTTAAATAAAGCCGCGGACATTCCTGCGGACAATAATTTCTATGAACGACAACCTATTGACCGCACTTTCAAGCACTCCTCGACTCATCCTCGCCGACACTCGATGTCTATCAGAGACCAATCGAGCGTTAGTCAGTTACCATCGATTGAGTCGAAAAGCAGTGCAAACATTATTTGCCGCCACGTAACTCGTCATCCTACCGCGGCCGGTCCATATCCACGAACTTCAATCCACTTAGGCGGAATCCCAAAGTTCTGCCTCTCGTCCTCTGCTCATGCTATCTCTCTCTCTCTCTCTCTCTCTCTCTCTCTCTCTCCCACTCTCTCTCCTCTACCCTTTCTCTCTCTTTCTCTCGCAATTGCTAGAATAGGAACCTAACTTGGTAGAAACGAAGTTAGCGCGGACCGCAATCGATATAATAGCGGCCGAATCCGCGGAGCTGCGATGTCCAGCCAGTGAGTGCTAGGGTTAGGAGTATGAGGGGAGGAAGGACGGACTCGAGAAAGGAGGCAGGATGGGATGGGATTCGTGAGGTTGGAGAGGGGTAGTGAGACGTTAATTATACATTGAAATTAGTTGCAGAGTTTGCCCTGTGCTCGGCGAGGCAGTCTAGGACCACTAAGTATGGACGACGGGCCGGCCTTAGTCCAAGCTCTGGTCAGAGATAGTCGATATTATATTATATATCGGCACATCTTGATTGCACAACATTATGCGCCAACACAGCGCCGTGCTCCGCTCAGCGAACGCGCGATAATTTTATGCGTGGCAACCGTCGATGGAATTTTGACTGATTGAAATTTCGATTATAATCTCACAGATTATTTGTTAGCAATCGTGGTCAATATTATGTTAATAAGATGTGCGACGAAGGAAATCATTTGTGTTCGGGAAATGCTGAAATTCATAGAATGTTAATGTAACTTACCTTGCGAAGTGGGGATAAGAAGCTGAGCTCCTTGAATGCCCTGAACCAATTGACCAGATGTTAAGATGAATTGAGGCATCGCGACCGGTTGTGGTTGAGATAATAGCTGAGGTAATGTTGCCATTGGGGCTGAGCTAGGTGGCAAAAGGTGAGGAGCTGCCGTTGTACTCGAGGCTGTTGGTATCGTTCCGCCTTAAAATGAAAATTAACGATTTCATCGTTAAATTACTCTTGTCATCCGATTCTTGATCCTTGATTCTCCGATCTTGCAATCGCTCACATTTCTATTTAGATTCACTCAAGAAACACGATTTTATGCTTCTTACCTGACGAGCTGACGGTTAAATTCAACGGAGTATTGATCAGCTGATTATTAGTTAATCCCGCTGTCATACCCTGAAGACCGGCGGCCAATGACGCGACTTGTGGGAGATTTTGCAAATTCGCTAAATTCTGAAGATTTTGAAGTGTCACCATACCGGCCACTACGCACAAAGTTCCAACAGTAAGAAAATAATATCGATATTGGGATCGTACGTACAAACAAAGTTTTTGTAAAGGAAAGTTTCTCACACTTACTCGTCCCGTTTAAGTGAGCTTGTGCTACCGCCGCGCGTTTCGCTTGATGGAGATTTTCAGGTGACGGACTCCGTCGCCTCTTTCGTGAATTCTTTATATCATCTATCATCATTTGGTGTTCGTGAAGTGCACCACCTGTCGCCGGTTCGGGACTTCCAGCGCTACTCCTGTCGCTGTCCTATAACAGAGATATATATATATATATATATATACATATATATATATATATATACACATATATATACATGTATATATATGTATATATATATATATATAGTATATAGTATATATACACATGTACAATAGATATATAATCACACGCCAGATTGAAATTCAATCACCTTCGATTTATACGAGATCGAACAACGGTTACGAGAAATTATATTGAATTAAATTATACTACTGTCCGATATAATAATAGATAATAATAATAATAATAATAATAATAATAATAATAATAATAATAATAATGCTAATTAAATATGTATTATTCTACTAATACGCAGTGTACTAAGAGATCAAACATCTTTTTGAATTTTCAATATAAAATGTTATGCATCATTCTCTCTCATGAAAATCAATTGAACAACGACGCAAAGGTTTTAATACGAGTTAACAGTCATTTCCAAAATGACCAAAACATTCAATTATACGCGCGTGGTTCGTTAACGCGTGATGCTTTTTATTGCGGTAGTGCGTTTAACGTCGAAAATAGATTAATAATCATTCACAGTCCACATAAATGATACATATTAAAATATTCCATTTCACATCGGTAGAGGTGAGAAAAAACAATGACAGTAAATTAATGACGATAATTATTGTAATATTATACACGTAAATCAATAAGTCTTACGACACGATCGGTGATCACTGTCGAATATTAATTTCAATATCACTTACGCGTGGCAATGAAAATTGAGCCCGCCTGTATTATCGCGATCCTTGCCCATAAACATAATCCAGCAATGCGTGCGGGCAAAGTGATTTAGTTATTCACGCTCAATAACACATTTTTGGAATTAACTTGGTCGGCCGAGCCGACCGTCCAATTTAATCAATACCAATTTGGCAGAATCGCGCGACATACGGTGTATCATGACTTCCGAAAATTTTCATCGGCAAACAACAATCGTGAAAGATTATACGAGAAGGCGAGAATTGCCACGCGAAAAAAATATATTAATCACGCGTTTCCCGGTTGCTCCGCTTTCGTGCCTGCAGATATATAATTCATGCATATTTACGGAATACTAGCGGAATAATTAACGAACGCCGGCACATTAAGGCGTGCCGTATATACGTACATGTGTACGTGTAGTCGAGGTTCTTAGAAGACAATCTAAATTATAATAAATCGATGGAGTATATATGCCGTAATGCTTTACCACCACGAGTGTATATCGACGGTGGTGGTGGCTGTGCCGTGGAGAGTAATGTTACCGGTGCGGCCTCTTTGCATAATGGTATGGAAATATGCCGGAACGTGTATCGCCATAGTTGGATACAGATTAAGCGTTTTAGAGCTTCGACACTCGAGTAATTCGGGAAAAAGAGTTCCCGCGCGGATAACTGGACCCATGAATAAATCCTAGAAGAGCTTCTGCGGTAGTTATCACCTTAGACATATAACTGCTTTCATCAGACGGCATTTTGGCACAAATGTCAAAAAAAATTTTACGCAATTTATAGCATCGATGAAAAATATATTAATGATATTTAAAGATAAGAACCAGATCGAGTTGTTGTTGAAAATTGTATAATTATTTTTTTCATAATTTTGTAAAAAAAAATTGTAAAATGAAAAGCGAATATTTTTAAATCAACCGTAAATATCACATTAATTGTACTATCGAAGTCTCAGTATATTCAGCTTTTTTTAAAAGGGGTATTCTCTGGGTGCGGCTTGTAATCCCGGCTTGAATTTTCGTCAAAGTCGCACAATGGGCCGTACGCGTCGCTGGTCGAAGCATTTCATTGCATAAAAAATAGATAAAGCCTGGTCGATAGGTAACGAACGAAAATAGGAGGCGCAGAGGGTACGGCAGTTCAATTTTTTTTCCACGCAAATTCGTAAACGGCTATACCACCAGTATAGTCACCCTATATTAAATGGACGAGGCGAGGAGGATTAGTTGAATGCACAGGTTCGACCATTTTGCTTGTAAAAGTGCACGCGATATACAACCAAGCGTAGAAACATATGTTTACGAGCTTCCGGTATTTCGCATAAATTAATCAGTGTTGCAGCACTGCAGCGTATGAAACAACTTTGTACGAGATCGTCGACTTTGCTAAAACTTGCCAAACAGTTATTTGCGTGGAAACAAATAATTATGTAGAAACAGAAATTAAGATGTTTATATTATTAATACAATTTTGATAAAAAAGAATGCATTAAATGAATTTGTTGAAAATAAACGATTCTCAAATGCAACTTTATAGAATTCTTCTATTTTTGTACATTTCTATATAATTCTCCTAATTGTTACAAGCATGCATTATTATGGAAAAATAAAATGAACATTAATAGTTAGTTACATATACTAAGACGATTTTAATTTGTAATCAGTGTCTATGATTTCTTATGCTTTACATCTTGAGATAATATGGTAGTCTATATATTCATCTTAGCACGTCGAACAAAAGAAGCGGTCATGCCGCCTATGCAATTGGTTCCAGCTTTAAATTCCCAGAGAGAAGTCAGTCATATGACCGATAAAAAATCATTATTTCGCATCCATAAGCCATCTCGCTAATGCAAAAAACCGAGCTGGATCCTCTCCCTCTCACGAATGGGGGCGGACGGTGAACGCGAACGGCCAGTGGGAGGCGCGAAAAAAATACACGGGGCAGAGGAAAGAGGGCGGAGAGCGTTCGGTTGGTCGTTGGAAATGCAACAATAAACATTACTTATCGGCACGGGGGTCTCTAACAATGCGTATACGAAGAGAAGCGGCGCGGCTGGTAGCAAAGCGCAAGTTTTTTGCAATAAAGTCATTTCGAGCCGTTTGAGTTATGGGTAATTCCTGTGGAGCGCCCGGGCCTCTGCGCTCTAGCTGGCTGGTCCGAGTCCGGTCCATTGATTAGTATTAATGACTTAGCTGCACTCATTTTGCCCGAATAAAAGTAATTGGATTTGGCTTCGACCCCGCGCGGACCGTGCTGTAGTTTGGCGTCGGCGGCGTCGGGCGGCGTCGGCGGCGTCGGCGGTGGCGACGGCAGCGGCTGGCAGAACAAAACTGGTGGGCGCGTGTAAAAATACATTAATATCTGTTTGCGCTTAATAAACGATAGCCGTGCTGACTTCAGACTAATGGCCGTATTCCGGAATCGGTAATACGCATTTTTATGTTTCTTTCTGAAACGAGGCGCCGCGCCGCCCGCATCGTACTGGTGGTTTCATCCCATCTTCGGCTGTGGCTGTGGATGTTTCTGCCTTTGGCGATCGATTTGTCGAGCGGGGTACCGTTAGTCGTTATGAAAATTGAGCGATTTTTTGGCAGGGAGAACTATGTACGCGAGTTTTGCTAGCAGTCAAAAGTACAAACACGAGTGAGAAATATGTAGAAATTTTTATAAGTTGTCACACAAATTGCGAATTATAATTTCGAAAACATTAATATGTCGGATAAAACGAAAGATATGAATATATCTCTGCTGAATTAGAAATAGAAAAGAATGTTACTAAAATTAATATATGTATAACTGTACATAACTGTGGATATAATATGTATTTTTAAAAATCCGAAGTCAACGATTATGTTTAACTTGATTTGAATCTCACAAATTGTTTCAAGCGTTTAAACCATTTGATTGAGTGATTCTGTCGATATAGTACATAACCAAACATCGCTTGTAAATTTATTCAAACAGTTTAAAGCTGTATAATTTCATTTGAATCTTGTAAATTTTATTTATTTGCATGTCAATAGTTATTATCATGCGATCAATCGAGATCAATAATTATACAATAATTATTCAACACGTCACAGAAAGGCATAAAAAGGCGAGAGGACGATGAATTTCCTTCACGATTAAGGATTCTAACGAATCCTGTGGGGGTCGCAATTATCACGTGGTCATTGCGAAAGGGTGTTATCGAGAGTGGAAATCCAGCGAGACAGTGGCAGAGGGTCTGCTCTCTATATGGAAAGGATAGAACGGAGACAACTAGAGAAAGGTAGACAGAGACAGTTTGGCAGAGAGAGAATCATGAAGATAGTCATAGAGGAGAAAGACAGGAAACGCCAGTGGGAAAGAGAGGGAAGGAGAGAGTAAGAGATAGAATCCGCTCGACCCCTCGGTTCAGGCCGCTTTGTCTGTAAGTGTAATTAGTCCAGGGTGGGGTTCCTGGGAGTCGAGGCTCGGGGGTATAAGGGAGGGTAAAAGAAGGGGTTGCAGCGGGGGAGCAACGGGGTGGTTCATCCTGGCTTCCCTCGCCCGTCCCTGTGCCCCACCATCGCCTTATTTATATGCAAATGAGCTTCATTTCGCGATATTAATGTTCCACCCGAGTCGGCCTGCCTCGGCGCGAAAGGGTGCGAGGATACGCGGAAAAGGGTTCGTCCTCTTGCTTCGTACGTGTTTACGTTTCGCTTTCATAGACAGCAGTCGAGTCAAAATGTCAAAAATTGTTGACGATCTCAATGGCCGAATAAATAACATGCGTTTCATCTTTCAACGAGTGACATAGTACGTAAATTGAGTATTATATATGACGGCTTTGATTTGGAAACTATGTTTAGAGGTGAAAGTGGAATGAGAAGTCGTTCATTCTAGCGAAGCGTGTCGGGTTGCCGGGGAAATGAATGAAGAAAGATTAAAAGAAAAAAAAAGGAGGCTACATATGAATTGCACATCTTGATTTACCATAAAAGGCATGAAACATAATTTTGTTACAAAAGTTTATTACGCCAATAAAAGAGTTTCTTGAAAGGTCAACCTTTTCTTGAAATAATTCTTTTCCATCATCTATAACTCTACAAATAAGTTAACAGGAGTTATGGAAGAGAATTAGTTACTCCAACATATAAATCAGAGCACAAGAGTTATAAATATGAGAGAAGTAGCGAGGATTAAACGCAAGATTTTTGAAAAAAACAAATATGTTTAATGTTTCACTTTATATTTATTTTAATAAATCGAGAGCAATGCGGCTATCATCACGCTACAAGA